ACAGACAGAGTGGACGCTGCTGCCACCGCGGGGACTAATCTGTCTGTGGGGATGGGAGAGTCCCCCCCTTTCCCCTCCTGCTCCTTCCCTCCCGTCGGACAACTTAATTGCTCTACAATGAAAATGAAACCCCTATTGTTGTAGGATTAGCCAATGCAATAAATTGATTTCCCTGGATCACATATTGGGGTTGACGGGTGGGGACTGTGGAAGCCCCCATTTACGGAGGAGTGAGGGGAGGGCTTGTAGATGGGCCGTGGCATGTATTCAAATGGTTAATCTGCTTTCTTTCCTCAATTCTTAGCTTAAGCTCCTTAGAGGGAATCAAGTAAGTAATTATACAGCAACTCCTAGCAGCACCCATTTCAGACTTCCTGGGAAGAAGTTTGGAAACGCTAACAAACCCCACGGGTCTTGCAAAAGTCTTCGGAAAGGCAAGACCGGCAGGGAGAGATAATCAAAAATCTTGCATTGAATACCTTTTTCCAGTGTTGGTAACGCAGAAAAAGGGTTTATTATTATCGTGCAGTTTGCACAATGCTTAGGGTTATATCTCATGTCCTAAATATAGATATGGGATTTACTACGTTCCTGTCAGTGCTCGGCAAAAGGAAATCTGATTCATCCTATGTCTCTGTACAACCAAAAGAGATGTTCTTTTTCCTGGGTTGATTGTTTAGTCACTAAATAACCAGAACTTACTCTTCTTGGTGGTTTTTTGCATCCATCCATCTTCCATTCTATGATAATAATATATAATAATAATGTGTATAGTAATAGTAACACAGCATACAAATGTACGTGGCAGGCCCTGTTCTAAGCACTTCATACTTCTTGACTCAATTAATCTTCCTAATATCCCTTGGAAGTAAGTACTCTTATTATCCCCGTTTTACAGATGAGAAAGTGGAGGCACAGAGCAATTCAGTAATTTGTCCCAGGTCATACCGCTAGAAAATGGGAAACTCAAGGGATTCTGAATTCACAGTCTATAATTTAATTGCTACAGTATGTGGTTCTGTTTCTCTCTCTCTCTCTCTCTTTTTTTTTTTTTTTTTGAGGCGGAGTCTCTCTTTGTTGCCAGGCTCCAGGCTGGAGTGCAGTGGTACAATCTCAGCTCACTGCAACCTCCGCCTCCCGGGTTCAAGCAATTCTCCTGCCTCAGCCTCCCGAGTAGCTGGGACTACAGGCGCACGCCACCACACCCAGCTAATTTTTGTACATTTAGTAGAGAAGGGTTTTCACCATGTTGGCCAGGATGGTCTCGATTTCTTGACCTGGTGATCCTCCCGCCTCAGCCTCCCAAAGTGCTGGGATTACAGGCTTGAGCCACTGTGCGCGGCCTTCTCTTTTTTTTTTTTTTTTTTTTTGAGACAGAGTCTATTTAGTCACCCAGGCTGGAGTGCAGTAGTGCAATCTCAGCTCACTGAAACCTCTGGCTTACTGCAACCTCCACTTTCCGGGTTCCAGCGATCCTCACACCTCAGCCTCCCAAGTAGCTGGGACTACAAGCCCGGGGCACCATGCCCAGTTAATTTTTTTTTCATTTTTTTTAGTACAGACAGGGTTTTGCTATGTTGGCCAGGCTGGTCTTGAGCTCCTGCCCACAAATGATCTGCCTGCCTCAGCTTCCCAAAGTGCTTGGATTACAGGCTACAGGCGTGAGCCACCGTGCCCCGCCCAGTTTTTTTTCTTGTGTACAAAAAATATCATGCTCCCTAAGTTACTGTCTATGTGTGAGGTTCCTAAAGAAGCTGAGGGGCAATTTGCAACTCATCACCACCTGCTGTTTCATAACTGTGGCTCTTTTTTCAGAATCCCTCTCCTCAGGTTTCTAAGACCTTAGCCCAAGTCTCCTCATTCCCAGTCCTCCTACTTGGTAATTTTAAAATACATTTCCTCTGAATGTCCTCAGCCTGATATGTTTAGATTTCTAAATCTTGTTGTAATGATCCTGACTTAATATATGAAGTAAAATGCAGGGACATTATAAGAGCCTTTATTTAATTAAGTACTGCATTTTAAATAGGATACCAATGCAAACTTTGCATCACTAAACATTGGAGGGGAAAAAAACAGCTCTGAGTATTCTATGGTTAGTCTTTGAAAAAAATTGTACCATATCTGTAGTTAAAATTATTTGTATTTTCTTTATCTTTTGTGTAATGCTTGTCAAGAAAAAAAACATTTTGAAGAGCCTGAATCTGCAGTCAAGCTGTTTGGGTTCCAACAAGGGCTTTACTACTTTCCAGCTGTGCGACCTTGGGAAAGTCAACCAACTTTGCATAGCTCAGATGGCTTATCTGCAAAATTGACAAGATAATAAGAGAACTTATCCAGTGACATCTCGTGAGCATAAAGAGATAAAATATGCAAAGTGCTTAGCATGGTGTAAGCCATGTGGACAGTGAAAATAAACTAGAAAATAAACCAAAAATAGAACATTTTTATTATACATTAACACTTAAAGTAACATTCTTTTACTGCCTCTTTATGTTTCCAATTTTCAAATATACATAGGAAAGTCTTTTTTAAGTATTTTTCACTAACAGTTCTCTGAAGACTTCTCAGACCCTAGGATGTGATTGGAAGTTTTTTCTTTTTTTTGAGAAAATAGTATTGACCTTAAACAAAGTTGTATTCTATTTATTAATTAAAAAAACTTATTTTTCAAAAATAGAAATGGGGTCTCACTGTGTTGCCCAGGTTGGTCTCGAATTCTTGGCCTCAAATGATCCTCCTATCTCTACTTCCCTAAGTGCTGGGATTACAGGCAGGAGCCACCATACGTGGCCCAATGTTATATTCTTTAATTCAATAAAAATGCGGTAATGTCCTTAAGAGTTAGTATCAGCTTTTGTGACAATTATATCTTCACATGAGGTTTATATGATTAAAAGGATTGTGGGGCCAATAGCAAACATGTATTGTTTTTATTCCATCACATCTCTGGAACCTCACAGCTGCTTTCATTCAAGTTGTTGGCTTTTCTTTCTCTCTAGTCATCTTCATAAGACTTCTGCCTGAACTCCCTTCAGTCAAGCAACTATCTCATTTTAATAGAAACTCAGATTTTTTTATAGCTAGAGGGACTCTCAGATATCAACTGGTCTGCTTGCATTTTTTTTTCTTACAGATAAGCAACTAGCCCAGGAGGGGAGAATAAAGAGGCTGAGGGGGTGAAAGGGAAGAGACTTAATATGTTTCTTGCCTAAGGACATGTGCCTTTGATAGAGCTAAGATATAAAGTTACAGTGGACCATTTTTTAGATTCCTGCCTTCTGAATGTTCCCATCTCTTTGGCTGAGATTTCTAGATTCCTTTTGGAATCCTGACTTACCAGACAAGACACAGCCTGATGAGCAGATGAATCTTAAAAAAAAAATTGGATGGGTTACCTGTCCCAGGCCAAAGAGGACTCCTGTAATAGGTTATTACAACCGTGTACCATGTGCTTTCAGACTGGTCGAGAAGTGATGCCATGACAATGTCCCCACTCCTAATGACCATACCTCCAGACCATACCTCCAGATCCATTTTTCAAATTCTTGAGCCATCAAAGCACATTGCTGGAGATCTTTGGGTTTTGTAGTGCAGGCTGCTTTAGGACTAGGTTTTTAGGCTTAATAAAAGTAATTATTAGTTCATAGTTATTGTTCATGCTCTCTAGGTAGGCACTGCAAAAACCCTGACAGGTTTAAAATTTTTTTTTTTTGAGATGGAGTTTCACGCTTCTTGCCCAGGCTGGAGTGCAATGGCGCAATCTCAGCTCACCACAACCTCCAACCTCCGCCTCCCGGGTTCTAGCGATTCTCCTGCCTCAGCCTCCTGAGTAGTTGGGATTACAGGCATGTGCCACCACACCCAGCTAATTTTGTATTTTTAGTAGAGACAGGGGTTTCTCTGTGTTGGTCAGGCTGGTATTGAACTCCCGACCTCAGGTAATCCGCTCACCTCAGCCTCCCAAACTGCTGGGATTACAGGCATGAGCCACCGTGCCTGGCCAAAATTTTTTAATTAAAATTTTAAATTATCATTCTAAAATAATGATATCAAGAACCTAGATGTATTTCCTGTGTGATCCGAAGCAAGCACATTGTCACATTGGCTTTGGAGTTTCTGTTAAGTCTTAGTAGTTACAACAAAGTAAGTAGAAAGTAGCAGGTGCTTATGAAAGAGTGTTGAACTGAGAGGAAAGTGATTCTCAAGGTTGACTGCATGAATTTAGAGCAACTAAAAAGTAGTAATTGTGAAGCCCTATTCTAGTATGGAAAAAATAAACTTGACGGAACCTTTGGTATAAATCAAATGGTTATATCATATCCTATTAACTTTATAGTCTTGAGTAATTAAAAAATGTTACTGCTATTGTGTATTCTGTGAATGTTTATTTTTTCCATGAAAATTTATTAATGTCAACAGTGTGCTGATGAGTCAATAGTATCAATACTACAGAAAGATTAAGGAAGATGAGAACTGAAAAGAAGTGTCTAGATCTCATAGTTAAAATGGACTGCAGTTTTGCATTTAAGATTCTGAGGTAGTCATTGACTCATTCCTAATAACCCTGCTTGGAATCTCACTACCATTAGAAAGATTGGAGATGTTTCAGCATCAGAGTTTTAGGATGCTTCTTGATAATGATCAGATAGTAGTTGTTTTGAAATGTCAAGAGCATTTCTGTGGTTCTTCATGTGGTCCTAATGGAAATGTTTTCTAAGTAATTTCTTGACAGTTATAGCGTTCTGAGATACAGTGGGAAGGGCTTGTGATTTTGAAGCTAGAGGATCTGGGTTTGATTCCTAGCTCTGCCGTTTATTATCTGGGAAATCCAGTACTATACATTCTGGATGCTCTGGGGCATTTTCTTATCTATAAAATGGGCGTATATCTACTTCATGGGGTGGTTCTGCAGTCAGTGAATGTGAAATGTTTAATAAACTGTGAAGTCTCATACAGATTTCCATTCATCATCATCATTTTTTAAATTTAACTTTTTAAAAAATAGGGAACGCTTCACGAATTTGCCTGTCATCATTGCGCAGAGACCATGCTAATCTTCTGTGTATTGTTCCAATTTTTTAGTATATGTGCTGCTGAAGTGAGCACTCCATTCATCATTATTATCCTCTATGAGAATTTTAGTTTCTCCAAATTCGAGGGGAGGGAGATATTGCACTATTTTAGTATCTTTCTTACAAATGGGTCTGTGAATGAAGCACCTGTGCATGTTGTTACATCTTTATAGTGGCTACCACAACTTCACATATTATTTAGTACTGTTATGTTTGTGAATGTCACAAACCCAAGTTAAACTGCCTAAAGCCAAAAAGGAAATTTATTGAAAGACATAGTTTAGACTGGGTGTGGTGTCTCATGCCTATAAATCCCAGCACTTTGGGAGGCTGAGGTAAGAGAATTGCTTGAGCCCAGGAGTTCGAGAACCAGCCTGGGCAGCATGGTAAGACTCCATCTCTACAAAAAATGCAAAAATTTAGCTAGGTATGGTGGTGTGGCATTGTGGTCCCAGCTACTTGGGAGGCTAAGGTGAGACAATCACTTGAGCTCAGGAGGTCAAGGCTGCAGTGAGCTGTGATCGCGCCATTGCCCTCCAGCCTCAGCGATAGAGCAAGACCCTGTCTCAAAGAAAGTAAATATATAGCTAAAAAGATACAGATAATTAGGTTGATCCATTTGAGACTGATTTTTTTTCTAGGCAGAAGTAGTCAAATATTGGCAATTTTATTTGGTTCAACCTAATATAAAACGGAGGTTCAAACTACGTCACGCCAATCTTGTTTTTCTTTCCATCTCCTGGCTCTGAGACGACTCCATTCTTAAACATGTTCTCCTTTGATGTAAAGTGGCTGTCAGTGGCTCTGGAGCCACTTCCTCATGTCCACTGGGAAAGAATAAGGGTTTTAATCAACTATTCCCAGCAAAAGTTTCAGTTGCATCTCTGGGGGGTCTGCTTAGGTCGTAAGCTCATTGGAGAATCAGTCAGTGAAACCAGGGTCATGATGTGTTCCCATGGTTTAGGCTTGGGCTATACTCAGTCCTTGAGATCGTGTACTAAGGGGTGGAGTCCAGAGAGAAACTGGGGAAAGGCTATTGGGAGAATGGCAAACAGATGCTGGGATGCAAAAATAACAGGTGTCCAGTATACCTTATTGGATAAAATTGACTGGCGATGTTATTTCCATTTTATATGTGAAGACGCATTTGAAAAAGCTACAGAAATTTCTTAAGAGCTAGTAGCCCTGGAGTAACTTACAGATTTGAAAGGAGAAAAGTATTAGAAACATTACGATAAAAGACGTGGCAATCTATGCTCATGTGAACATGTTGCAACTTTAAGTTTAGAAGGAGAACAGGAGAAAGAAGGACTTTTAGAAGGTTTATTTGGATCCTAAAGTTTTCTTATTTGGAGCAGAGCTTTGTGATAGGAAAGTTCTGGAAATTGAGCTGAGATCAGACTACAGGATCCCTTGAGTCCAGTGTAGTATTTCATTTTTTGGGGGAATCTTAGGCTCTTGCTCCTTTTCCAATTTACTTCACGCCAGTGTTTATGTTCCTAAGACTTTGTCCCTTTCCAAGCACTAGTCCTCAGCTATAAGGATGCGGTAGAGAGAAAGAAGCTTCAAGAGTTTGGAGACAGGTTAAGATGCTTCTGTGAAGACACAATACATCTTGGTACATATCTGAGTGTCCTTAGAACTTCACCAATGGACTTCTCTTGTAAATGGTAGAACAGGTATCCATAACGCCTTATTGGATTCAGAAATGCCAGATATATGTACTCTTTGCTGATGCTTACTTTGTTGGTCTCTAATCGAAGTCTTATCTCTAATCACATTGGCTGAGAAAATGGAGACATTCTCATTCTGAAAGTAAGATGGTTAGCTTTTACATTAGGGCACTTTTGATTTAGGATAGCACTGAAATTCATTGCAAAGAAATGTCTTTCCTACATAATGGCAGACTAGACAATTTGAAGTTTTACTTTTGGTCATTAGCCCTCAGATCATGCCTGACACCCAGGTTATTGGAAACAGTGAGAAATGAATGAAAGGAGGAAATGTAATTACCATTCTGTGCATTGAATAGTTGAGCCACTGTTACCATGGATACAATGGCGTGTTTACTGTCCAGATCTTGAGATCCAAGTTTGCAAGCAATACCCCAGGTATCCTTTAAATTTATGTACTATCAGCCAATAACGCATGAAGATTCCTAGTATTTCCTCACTGATCTACTGATTCACATTAGGTAACAGCCTAAGTACCTTTGAAGGTGTTGAGGAAACCTGAAAAAGAGGAAAAGGAAAGTAGCTACACTTCTGTATTGCTGGACATTCTTAGACTCCTATATAAAAATATTCTTTCAGTGTCAGTGATTTGCATGTCACTTTGGCCCCAGTTCTTTGGTTTTTATCTCATTAACAAAGAAAACATTTCCTGAGTAAAGGTTGAAAATCAAAATCATTTATTTTTTGAGATAAGTTCTCACTTGATCACCCAGGGTGGGGTGCAGTGATGTGGACACGGCTCCCTGCAGTGTCCATTTCCTAGGCTGAAGTGATCCTCTCAACTTAGCCCCCCCCCCCAAGTAGCTGGGACTACAGACACATATCACTACACACAGTTAATTTCTATATTTTTTGTAGAGATGGGGTTTCTTCATATTGCTCATGCTGGTCTCAAACTCCTGAGCTCAATTGATCCTCCCGCCTCGGTCTCCCAAAATGCTGGGATAATAGGCATTAGCCACCATGCCCCACCAGAATAATTTATCTTATCAGGAAATTCTTCCAGTTGCATTTAAGAATGGAAGCATTTTATCTGAAATATGGCAATCCTACCCACATTTTAGTTTCACTAGAAGGGAGGTGATACATGCTAGCATGTACTTCCACACTGGTTTAATTTTGATGTAGGGGAGGGTGTGGAGGATACTTTTTATTGCAAGAAACAGAAAACCCAACTCAAAATGGCCTACACAATAAAGGGTATTTCTTGGCTCATGTGAGTAAAAAGTACTGAGGCAGACTGGGGTTCAGGCGAGGTACAGTCAGGGCTCCAGTTCTCTTTTTTGTGGTGTATTTCTTGACCTTACTCCGCTCTAAGTTTCACCTTTGTGTTCAGTCTGGCTTCCCATATGATTGTGATATGGCTGCCAGGGCAAATGCGGCTACGTGTTTCCTTGATCCTATCTGGGGGAATTCAACTTTGAGAAGGTTTCAGTTATGTTCTCAAAAGTATTATTTCATCACAATAACTTACAGAATGTTATAATTTCTAAGGACCCTAGATAAAGTCAGCTAGCTCCCCAAACTCAGCATATCATCAAAATCACCTGAGGAACTTTAAAAAGTATATAGATTCTTAAATCAAAATCCATCCTTGCTAAAGCAGGTATATAAAAATCTGTATTAAAATTTATTTTTTTTATTTTACTTTCAGTTCTGGGATACATGTGCAGAATGGGCAGATTTGTTACATAGGTATACATGTGCCGTGGTGGTTTGTTGCAACTATCCACCTGTCATCTAGGTTTTATTTTTTATTTTTAAATTTCTTTTCAATATTTATTTATTTATTAATTATTATTATTTTTAGAGACGGGGTCTCGTTATGTTGCCCAGGCTGGAATGCAGTGGCTATTCACAGGTGCCATAACACTACTGATCAGCACAGAGTTTTGACCTTCTCCGTTTCCTACCTGGGCGGGTTCACCCGTCCTTAGGCAACCTGGTGGTCCCTCTGCTCCCAGGAGGTCACCATATTGATGCCGAACTTAGTGCGGACACCCAATCGGCATAGCGCACTACAGCCCAGAACTCCTGGGCTCAAGCAATCCTCTCCCACCTCAGCCTCCCGAGTAACTGGGACTACAGGCACATGCTACCGCACCTGGCGTCATCTAGGTTTTAAGCCCCATATGCCTTAGGTATTTCTCCTAATGCTCTCTCTCTCCTTGCCCCCCACCCCCTGACAGGCTCCAGTGTGTGATGTTCCCCTCCCTGTGTCCATCTGTTCTCATTGTTCACCTCCCACTTATGAGTGAAAACATGTGGTGTTTGGTTTTCTGTTCTTGTGTTAGTTTTCTGAGAATGATGGTTTCCAGCTTCATTCATGTCCTTGCAAAGGACATGAACTCATTCTTTTTAATAGTTGCATAGTATTCCATGGTGTATATGTGTCATAATCAACCCAAATGCCCATCAATGAGATACTAGATAAAGAAAATGTGGAAACTCTGTATTTTTAAGTGTTTCCAGGTGATTCTGAGGTCTGGACAATTTTTGGGAATGTCTGATCTATGTAACCCCTCTCATTTTTCGGTTTTGTAAACAGACTTAGAGATGCACTGACTTGCCACTGCAAATTTTTTCAGTGGCAGTTAAGTATACTCTGTTAAATCTCTTTCTTCTGGATGGAATATTACAAGGTAGCTACATTAATAAGGACAGGACTCTAAGTCTGAGGGTAATATGAAGTACTATCCTCATTCCTGGCCACCTCCTTTTTTGGCCAGAGTGGCAGGTCCTGAAACCCTCCCTAAATGTGCCACTGTTTGTGTCTTAATTGTATGCTTTGCTCTTACCTTGGACAACTTTATAAAGTTCCCCCCCAACCAAAACCCTCCCAAGGTCATTAGATTTATTGAGGTAAACAACTGTTGCAGGTCTTCTAATCTTTTCTCACCTAAGTCAGGAATTCATCTCAAAGCACCCCTGACATAGCCCACTGGCTTCTAGAGAAGCTGTTTGTTCTGCACTTGGAATGGAAGCGTAAACTTCATAGCTCATTTCCTTTGTATCCTAGCCTCAACCCTTTGTTGACCTCACTGGGACTTACAGTTCATTGATCCTACTGCCTCTTCACTGTCCCTCAAATCCTTCATCTATTTTTACTGTCCCTCAAATTCCTCATCTATGTACTTCCTCAATTTATATTTTATGGCCGTGATTAACCTCACTTCCGCGCATACATACACCAGCAGCAGCTTGGCTCCTTTGTCTGGCTCTGCTGTGCTTCGCAAGATCCTGATTCTGGTTAAATCCAATTCTCCACATCTGCAGCTCTGTAGCTAAACATGGCAGGAGA